AGTACACTTTATCATGCCTGCACTTTTTCTCTTCCACCCCTTAGTTTTACCTCTGTTCTAATGCGCTGCTTCAACTATATGACTGAACATCCATTGTCATTTGATTGGCTGCGCAGACTGTGATCCCCAATAGTGGGTTTAAACTCTACTTCCATTGCAATCTGTGGATTGAAGTCTCCAAGCACTATCTTCATGACCTGCGATGCTTTTTCGATCATATGCCTGCTCCAGATCCTGATATTAGATGTTCTTTAACTCTGGATCCTTTTCTATTGCCAATTCAAAGTGGAGATATTACAGAATTATCCTTTCACTTGCTCAGGATCTGCTAGCCCAGAAGCTGAACATTACTTGTTCAACTTGACTAGACATTAGGAATGCTGTTCCAAACTCGTTCTTCTGTCCATTGCCAATTTTCTATAGTCACACTTCTTAATTCTTCCTGTGCCCAACTATCTCACCTCTTGCACAGCAACTATATCCAGGTCATCCATTTTGGCCTCTGCACTTAGTTCATTCAGTGCACCTGGTCTATTGAGTGTTCTTTTTAACATTCCATGTTCCAATTTTGTTGTAAATCTGATTTCGTAAGCCAGGTTGTTGCCGCAAATTAGTCCAGTTCAATCTGAGGCTTTGTTGAGTGTTAATAACACAAGGCTTTTTACGGGAGTGGGTTGTCAATCCTAATCACCAACCCTCCTGCTTAATCCGTGCTTGGGACTGGCAGTGGTGTCTACCAAGCTAACTCCATAAATATAAATCGAGGTGTTGCCCCGCAGTTCCTCGATGTTTCTTATTTCTCCACTTCGATGAGCCCCATAAACTTTCTATGTGTTGAGTATGTTCCCCAGTTGATGGATCAACAAAGTTATACCGGTAGTTTGCTTCATTCAGTTGTTGGGTGTTGTATCCTTTCCAGCAGTCAGGATAAATGGTGCTTCCCTCTTTTATATTATTTTTAATAAAGTTCTTGGCTTTCTGTCCTTTATTTTTACGATGAAACACTAGTCTGTTTCTTGACAAACTCCGCTAAACACCCAAACAGGGAGAACTCTCCCTACATGATTTTTCTTTTAGAAAAGACTCTCATCTACTTCAACGACTTTCCCAGGCCCTCCAATTTTCTTAGTTGACCTGTATAACATGTTATGGGCACAAACCTCTCTTAAAAATTTGTTCCACTTTATGATACATCTGTTCGATAGTTTCAGCTGCTCTTTGCCCCACTGTTGTCAAATTATGAGACCACCCATAAATTAATTTTAAAGGGGTTGAAAATTACCCATTAGGTTAATTGTTGTGTATTTATTGCCATGTAACTTATGAAAACATGCCATAAGTTTAATCTTCGACCCCTCTAACCACATTCCTTTCCTTATAGATAAGGTTTTGTTACAAGTCCTACGAAAGCATCTCCATTTCATCTTCCCATCGAACTTCATTTCATGACCTTCACGTTTGCAATTATACCGGCGTCTTGAAAATATTTGATATCCTCTTCTGCTGAAGACAGCAATCCCACAATGTAATAATATCCATTTCAACAATAAACAATCGAACAAAAATAACCAATGCTATAACTCATTCGCAACAGCTTACACAAGATAAAATCAGGTTATGTGACATAAGATAAGATAAGAAGGGAGGTTTACTGCCAACCAGATTGTTCACAAGTACCATAATTTTATTCTGGGACTACAGTGACCTAAGAATAATAACAGAGTTCCACAATTATGAACATCTAGCTTAGACTATGCAAAATGATGCTTAATTAACTGTTATTTGCATTTGCAATTACACTGTTGATTGAATTTTACAGTGTGCAGAAGCAAGTAGATTTTACAGCGGAAGTTTGAGTATGAAGTAGGTGGTGTAATAGGAGTTCTTTAAAGGAATTAGTGGAAGAAGATTGGCGTATAGAGGTAGGTAGAGAGTTCCAAAAGGAGATTGTATAAATGAGAAAGGATTTGCTGAAGTTTTATGGGAGGCGATATATAACTAGTTCTGCCATAAATACTGTTACAAAAGTTGAACTTCGTTTACATACGTCTTTGGATATTATTTAGATAATCCTTACTACTTAATCCTATAGGTTTTCAAGTAATTTTCTTTACATGTCCGGATAATAATCCCAATTAGTTTGTATTTTTCTTTCACTCATTTAACATGGAATGGGGTGATGAAGAAAACCGAATAGCTGTGATCACTTTACACAAAGTTGGATAGTGTAGGTCAGGGATTTTCAACACTTTGAAACCTTTGGGTATCAGCCGTATGTTCGTGTACAGCACTATAGTACTATTTATAAATAGATATAATGAGACCCTATCTGTATGTGACAGATATAAAATAAGAACAAATATAAAAAAATAAAATGAAAATAAAAGACACTCATAATAAATGGATTGGAAGGAACAGTGAGACCTGATCTTCATTTCAAACTTCTACACAATCGCAAAAATATTTATAAATCAACCAAAAATTTTTATGAATTCAGTTCAAACATTCAAAGAAGGCTTATTTCTATGTATTAAACCCTTATTTTGGGGGAGAGGGAATCTTAACTTATAGCTGTAAATTTATTGATTGTTTGGTAATCAAAGGAGTATTTATCCTTTATTCTTTTCCATCAATTTTATTTACATTTTTTGCATTATGTTTTCGATCAATTCTTCTTTTTCTAATTACACCAACATATAAACATATGTTTAAAGCCATATTCCATTCAAATATTTACCATCAATATTTTGACTTTTGTCCATCTTGATTGACTAGGATAGCCCACTGTGCACCACACAGTAGGATGAAAGCATCTTTTTGGGGACTAAAATTCTATAAAAGACAAACAATATGAGATAGGTAACATTTGATGATTAATTTTTATAGCTTTATTTGTACTCAATTAATTAATACATGAAAAGTATTATTTATTATTAAATACATTAAGTAAATTTGATAACATAAAACTGTAAGGATAAAATACAATAAATTATCAATTGATTGAAGAACTATCCAATTTAACTAGAAAAAGAAAACATTTTAATCAACTAAGGAATATATAAAAAAAAAAAAGATGAAACAGAATATTTATTTACAAAGAAATTTAAATTTATAAATGCTGCACATATACATTTACAGATTTACTTCTAAAAACAGACATATGAGGGAAATTCTTTTTACTTTTTGAATTTATCCTAAGTCTAAATACAATAAACCTCTGAAGAATACTATATTTAATATTGTGACAATTAAATATGTGTTCTTCATCAATAGAACTCATTTTTCTCTATGAAAAATCCTCTTAAATCACCTCTGACTGAGTTGATTTGGCTCATATAGGTTTTGAAATTGACTTAATCCTTTAATCTGTTACTTTATTTTATTAATTTTTCTTTATAATTCAGTGGTTATGAGAGAAAAATACTGAAATTAAGTTTGAAACTTGATTATAGAAGATATTTTTATAGTTTGAGGCTATTATCTGATACAATTTGTATTTTGAAGTCAGTGGTTTCAAGTATAAAATTGAAATTTGGTTTCCATTTATAGTTATTGTTACTTTCAATATTAAAAATATGAGTGTAGTTGATGATCCTTAAATCATAGTTTAATTGAGTATAGTTGATGATCCTTAAATGATAATCTTGACCTTAAATGATACTCATATTTTAATGATGAAAGTAACAATAACTATAAAGGAAAACAAAATTTCAATTTTATACTAGAAATTAATAACTTCAAGATAAAAATTGTGTTAGCTAATAGCCTCGAACTATAGACACTATCTTCATATAACCAAGTTTGAAACTTGATTTCCATCTTATTCTTTCATTACCACTGAATTAAAAAGGAAAATTAATAAAATAAAGTAAAAAATTAAAGTATACTTACAATTTTAAGTCTATGAAGAAGAAACCAAACTTGTCACTTTAACTTTAAACACTATTACATATAACTATTAAATAAAAAATACCTATTAATAAACTAAATCTATTACTAAAACAACACAATTAAACTTTCAAACAAAATATCACTAATGAAATATGAGTCTGTGAAGATGAAACCTATCACTGAACATGAATAGGTTAACTATCACTTTAAACACTAAAACGTACAACTATTCAATAAAAACTACCTATTAGTAAACTAAATTTGTTACTAAAACAACACAATTAAACTTTTAAATAAAATATCACTAATAAAATAAGTCTGTAAATGTGAAACCTATCACTGAACATGAAACCAAAACTATCACTTTAAACACTAAAACGTACAACTATTCAATAAAAACTATCTATTAATAAACTAAACATATCACTAACAACAAAATTAAGCTTCTAAACTAAAATACTGCTAATAAAATATGAAATGTTAACAGTTTTGAGGTGCCTAAAGAGCAAGCAGATAGCAAGGGACGATCCAAGATGGCCAACCAATCAGAAATTGACTCCATATGACCGCACTGTATTATTAAGCCACTGTAATACTTTTCCATTAAATTCAAATTGAATAAAGTAGGAACTTGGCTGTTTTCTCTTAACAACTACTCATACTATATCCGCTGTGTTGAGTTTTAGGAGGCCTTGTTAGGCAGGGTGCTACTCTTTACTCAGACAGATGGACCTGGTTGTAGTGTACAGACTTCTGCTAAGGCTTTATAGCTCTCTTGGCTATTTCCCTAGGAGGGAGTGAAGGGATACCTCTTCTCAGCCTCTTGACCCCTGACCATAAATAAATTTATGAAGACAATTCATTGTGGTATAATTCTCTTGTGTCTAAATTGGGTTTTATATTTTTATCTGATAATTTAATATTTATTATAACAAGTCTTAATGATCAATCTTCTTCTCTTTTGTTATAAGTTTTTATAAAATCAATGATTATTTTCATTTCCCTCACTGTTTTAGATAAAGTATTATAGACTATAATTTACGATAAAATGTTTTAGACAGAATCATATAACCTAGTTTAATAAAAAAAAACCTGTTTTGTGATTGAAGGTTTTTCTTGGAGCATTACCTCCTGATTTCTTACGAATAACTACTACTCCAAAACAGCAACAAGAAGCAGCTGATCAGCAGGCTGCCTGGGCATTACATCACCAACTCGTTGGCACTTCTTTAGTTCAAAATACTGTCGGAAGGCTGAATATAACAGTTGCTCAGGTATATTTAAGATGATATTGATTTAAAATAAAATCATTAGTCTGTTTTTTATTATTACTATTATTATATAATTATAATAATTTAATTTAATTTTTACATTATTTATTGATCACGTCCACTGCACTTGTATGTATTTGTATGCATTTTTAGAATTAGGTTAGGAAGAGAGAGGAGTGAATCTATGAGAATGGGAATGAGAAAAATGTATAATGGGAGAGAAGGAAGAGAAAGGGATTTATAATGCTAATAAATGAATGAAAGAAATTGTAAAAATAAAATTTAAACAAATAAAAAATAGAAAAATATATATATAGAAAAAAAAGTTATAATAAAAAATATATAAAAAAAATTGTATACTATGCTCATACATATTGTTAATACTATATAATTGTATATTAGTTTTGGAAAATTGTCTGTAGTGATTAATAAGTATGCTGTGTTTAAAGCAACCCAATGTAATTGGGCAGCACCCTCTTATGATAATAAAGTGATTCTCTCTCTCTATTACTATAATTATAGTTTATTGCTATAATGATATAAGGCAATAACCTCTATGGGGAACACAGTAATTATTTTTCATTAATATAGTTGTATAACATTATAGTTTGACATTCATAAGGGGAGGGAGGGGGAGGGAGAGGGAGAGGGAGAGGGAGAGGGAGAGAGAGTGAGTGACCAGATGGTTGTTATAATGTCCTGTGAGTTGGCTCAGTTTTATTAAATGTAATTCTAATAACCCCTAATTATCTTTCTTGATAAATTTGTGTCAGGACAGTCTCCTTTAACACTTAGTGAAATCATATTAAAAGATATAGGAATCAAGCATCACGTAAGTTTCTCAGAGAGAAGAAAAGAAGCAATTAGAACAATCTTAATGTGTCACTAGTCAATATATTTTACTTATTTAATATTGGAAATTTTAGCCAAATTTGAGAATCTCTATTATTTTTAATAATTGTTATATGCACAAATTTTATTATTAGACATTAGAGTTTACTAACCTATAACCTTAGTATATTTTAACTTTACTAATAAATATTAAGATTAATAAGTCAAGCTATTCTATATAATTATACTTTTAACCCATTTTATTACTAACACTTTAGATTTAATGTTTATTACCTGTATATAACTAATAAAAATTTTGTCCTAACCTTTTGTATATATGCATTATAACAACTGTACATATTTAAATGTTTGAATTAATTGATATACTTTAATGGATAAATGTTTTAATCCATTGTAAGAGTTATTATTTTATTGAATATTGTTAGTTTTAACACTAAGACAGTATTTTTAAACTTTTTCACTATTTCGTCAATATGTTTAGTCTAAAATAATTCAGATAGAAGTGTACTGTACTTATAACACAAGTCGAGTATCCCAAATGATTGATTAAAATTAATACTTGAGTAGTTTTATTCATCACTTTAATATTTAAGATCTCTAGTTCTCAACTTAACCTAATGGAGTTGGATCATTTGGTGCTTCTATTCTATAATCCTCTTGTGAATTACCTTGAGCCATTTCTCCTATTATTACTAAAAAAAAGTACGGAAATGGAAGAAAATGAAAAACAAAATCCTTTTCAATCAGGTAAAAAGCTAGAAAAGTCTCCACTACCCAATAGAGCAATAGTAAATAAAGGAGCGCTGACAAATGGCGGGGAGTGCAGCGAGATAGAAAGAGCCAAAGAGACATCATACAGCCAGTCTAGCCCTTTAAATCGCTATAGCCAATGCAGTCGTGACGTCACCGAGTCTTCTTTAACTTTTTATGTTATCTCACAGCAAACAATTACATCACCTAATCGAAAACGTAAGTGTCGTGAGGATATTGTAGAGAAGAATTTAAGTTACGTAAATGAAAACAACAGCCGAATAATATTAAAATCTCATAATTGAAAATGCAGAATTAAAAAATCAAGCCTTCTGCCCTACACCTGTTACTTTCGAAACGCATGGTATAGAGACATTAATGATGGTAATGAAGGACATAATAAATGAGAAGGTTACCTCTCGTCACTGAAAAGGTCGGTACTACGAAAAAACAATCTTATGCCTCTACATTAGTAGAAAAAAGACAGGAAAATCCTATTGAACCTCCTAGTTCAGTGTACATAGCCCAGGCAGACCAAAGTAGGGAAAAATATTCCACTGTACAGGAATTGAAACGGGAGATAAAGAAAAGCCATGCCTGCTAAAGAAGGAATAAAAATTAGAGGACTGGTAGAAATGACCAGGGGAGTAATAATTAGGACTCAAACAAAAGAGGAAGCTAAGAGGCTCATTCAGTCGGAAGGAATAAAAGAACTCGGTACAAAAGTGAACTTGGTGAATAAACGCCTTCCAAGAATAATTGTATATGATGTTCCAAGTAACCTGGAGCAAGAAAAGATAGTTGAACTGTTTTGGACCATAAATGCAAAAAATTTAGATCCTAATAAGCAACACTACAGCCTGGTTTTCAGAACAGGTCCAAGGGGAAGAGATACAGTTCATTGGGTGGCGGAAGTGTCCCCGGCATTGAGAAATGAAATATTAGCTGAGGGAAGAGTTTTCCTGGATTGGGCATCTTGCAATGTGCGAGACTGGGTGGCAGTGACACGATGCAATAAATGCCAGGATTTTTCACATATAGAAAAATTCTGCCAGGCAACTGTCGTAAACTGCGGGTACTACCGGTGCTTCCGGTCGACTGCCATTATGGATGAGCTAACGAAACTAAAATGCCCCAGAAGTATATACAGGCTCATATCATTTTTAGCAAAGCGCTCTGTCTACTATCAACTACCGGAGAGGAGAATAACGAGACCAGTCCCCCAGGGTTGTGCTCAAGGATCAGTTTTGGGACTCCCCCTATGAATCAACATGAACCCTTTCCTTGTTAAATTGAGAGCTGCTGGGTACACGTCATCTGCTTCTGGTAGCAGGAGCGTATAGAACGACACCCACTTTGGCTTTGCCTGTAGCCAAGTATAGAATAAAGAGGGGACTGCCAGCAATTGTGGGGACAAGCTGCTTTGTGTGCCCCAGTGGAAGGTATGATGAGGTAGCTGACAGAATAGAGGAGCTATTCCTTTCTGAATGGCTGAGAAGGTGGGATGCTTGCGAGACTGGAAGAATTACCCATGACTTCACCCCAGATGTTAGGAGAAGAATTAAGAATGACTGGATGGAGACGGATTTCTGAACTGTTCAACTCCTCACAGGCCATGGAGACATAAATGAAAAGCTACATTTTTTTCATAGAAGAGCAAATCCGAATTATTGCTGCAGGGCTATTGAGGATGCTAGACACATGCTTTTGAAATGTCCGATGTACATTGGCGCCCGACAAGCATTGAGCAGGAGAGTACTCCTTGTTGGAATGGCCTCCTCAGTCTCTGGACAAACTTCTGGCGACACCTGAGATATTTGATGCCTTATGAAATATGCTAGGAGGATACTCCAAGAAAAAAGGGCAAGACATGAGACCAGTGATATACCAAATATATAAATACTAGATTATTGTATTATTTAATGTTATTAATTATTGTTGTTAATATTTTTATTGATATCATAAGATTTACAAATATTATTATTTATAAACTGTAATATATGTCCACAATAAGTAGGTAGGAAGTTACTGGAGTCCTGTTTGGTGGGAACAGCCCTCCAGTTGCAGGCAGCCCATTAGTGTAGGTCTACCCGTATTAATTAATGTCCCAATCAAATAAAAAGACTGAATCTTGCCTCACTTTGGCTCAAGAATTTTGATCAAAGTGAGAGCAGACCTGTCCACTTGGTTACCAATCCTGGTGGCCGAGCCCATTATATTCGTCACAAAATTATTCAGTCAGTAAATTGGATGTACCGCTGGTATAGGGTTCCCCTAAGGTACAGTGGGGGAAAAGAAGGGGAAAAAGGAGAGGGAGATGGAGAGAGAGAGAGGGAGTGGGAGTGGTTGAGGTAGAGGGAGAGGGAGATGGAGATGGTGAGAGAGTGAGATATAGTTTCCACCAACAAACTTAGATCACTTCCTTCACCTTTCATATATATACCTCATTCAATCTTATAAAACCATCTCCTTTCTCTCTCTCTTTCCACTGCCACACACGCACTGCCACATAAATTTCATCCTTTTTTGGTGCTCTACAGGTATGAAATTTCTTAATTAATTTTTTTTAACCTCAAACATTGTAAGAACTTGTTTTATAGTATTTATTTTATGGTAATTAGTTCTAACTCTTTTTTTTTTTTTTTTTTTCTAGGCTAAACTAGTAAAAAACTATGGAATGACTAGAATGGATCCTTATGTGCGATTAAGGGTAGGACATTGTGTATATGAAACACAAACTGACCCTAAGGGAGGCAAAACACCGCATTGGAACAAAGTAGTGCAATGGTATTTGTAATTAAATTAATTTTCTCATTTCTTTCTTTCATGTTTTTATTTATTTGTGTTTCCTTATTTGAATTATTGGTTAAAATTTGATTTGTGAGAACTGAAGAATAAAAATTTAATTCAAATATTTTTTTGCTTTCATTACTTATTTTATCATAAACAAATTTTTTTTGGAATGCTTTTCATAGTCTCTTGGTGTAATTCCTCCACGATATATGAAAAATGTCCGTTACAAATTTATTGCCAGTATTTAAGGTTGTTTTTGAATTTCTCCATTTAAAATCCTTTTACATTGAAATGTTATGATTCAGTAGTTCAGTAACTATTTAGTAGATTGCTTATATATCATAGCAAACAGATAGTGTATTAGGTTAAATAGTACAAATTGTTATACAGTTATGACTCAATATCAGAGACATAAAATTTTCATTTTGATTGTGAAGAATGTGGGACAATTGACTAAAATAAGTTGCCAGGAGTTTACTTATGTATTACTTTTCAAAATTATGGGTGACAATTAACATAGTCAATATAATTATTGTAAAATGTACAATATAATATTGCATATGTTTTCTCTCTCTTTTTTGCCTCTACTCTTATGGGTCATCGGCGTTTCACTATAATTTATACCCTGTCATAGCACTGTTAACTTTAAAATTTTTAACACAGTAGAAACTTGCTATTCACTATCTTGATGAATTTCTCTTATTGTTTTTTCTAGTTCTGTTTTTTTTTTTTTCTGTAATTTTCAAACTGGGAGCATTCTACCACTAGGTGTTTTACTGTCTGAAATATTTTGTTACATTTTTCACAAGTGAGCTCTTCGAGACCTCTTAGAAGGTTGCGGTGTGTAAAAAGTGGTGCCCAATCCTAAGATGGCTCTACCTCTTCTCTCCTTGATCTTCTGGAGCTAGTGAGCCCTTCAGCACAATCAGATTTCAATTGTCTCAGTTTACTCTCTCTGCTCTTCCATTCCTTTTTCCATGCTGCCAGCAGTGTTTTCTTTGAGTGCTGAACCCGCTCTTCTAGAGTAACATCTTTCACTCTAGTCACTACAGCTTCTCCATATTGCATATTTAAAAATAAATTTCTATATATTTTTAATTTATGTGAGATATTTTTATATATTTAACATGGAGGGTGGGAGGGATGGGGGAGGAGTGTTCCCCACTACGTAGGTTCACTTATAGAACTTTAGCTAAAAATGAATAATGTTAAAAACTGAAAAAATATTTATGATTTCATAGTCTGTACAACCTTAAAATAAATTAAGAATAATAACTGAAAAAATATGTGCTCGTAAAAACAATTTCTTCACAGTCTAACTATTTATGTTAAATTGCCTATTCCTAAAATTGTTACATGCACAATTACTCCTGGTTAAGCACTATTGTAGAGCCAACTGTAATTTAGACCAATCTCTGATTAGAATCAAAGTCTTATTAGAGGCTCAAAGAAAAAAACAGATAAGGAAGTAATATATATTCAGGAAAAGCAAAAAGCCAAGAAGTGGTTCACAGCAAATGCTGTTGAGGAAAGAAGAAGAATGCCTGCCTGGCCAAAAATGATCAAGATAGGGTAAAACCTGTTTTCTGCATCCATTGGTGCCTATTTAAGAATATTAAGCTTTTAGAATTGTCAAGCACTGTCAAAAGAGGCTCTTCCGAAGCATAATTCCCATCTGAGGAAGCATATTATTGCATATTTCACTGTTTATTTTGTTTTAGTAATTAAAAAAGGATCTGAAGATAAGGTTTCCAACAAGTGTAACCCTTAAAGGATGTGCCTTACATTTTTTATGAGTAACATACATTAACTTTTCAAGAATATATATATATATATCATAAGGAAGTAATATATATTCAGGAAAAACAAAAGCCAAGAAGTGGTTCACAGAAAAGGCTGTTGAGGAAAGAAGCAAAATGAATTCCTGCCAGGCCAAAACTGATCAAGATAGGATAAAACCTTCTTGTTTTCTGCATCCATTGGTGGTTATTTAAGAATGTTAAGCTTTTAGAATTATCTAGATATTTTTGCAGTTCCATTCTCTGTTATTGTATTAATATTGCACCACATTTAAATCCCTAGCTAGCTTGCTTGTTATAATTTATCTAACAGGAGCAAGTGAAACAGAGATTAAAAAATAATTGTTCTGTCCATCATGTATGAAGATTAACCAAAAATCTTCTTTATATTTTGTCCCTGACTTGCAGCACCCCTTCAGTCATGGTGTCCCGCCCACAGGACGGCCCTGTCTGCAAACACCAGACGTATCTGTGTTTCTTTCAATTGTGCAAGGAAGAACAAATAAAGTTGCTGTGTAGAAAAGTGAAATTCTGGACAAATCTATAATTAAAAATCTCATCGAACATCTTTTATAAATTAAGAGTCTTCCACCAGATATTTAAAAAAACAAAACAGATTAAAAGGCAGGCATTCTTCTTCTTTCCAGCAGGACTTCCTGAAGGCTTTATTTATAGAATTTTAGAATTATAAAAGGAAAGGAAAGTCTTTTTTGAGATTAAGACAATAGATTACGTTGTTTTTTACCATGCTTCTCTGAAAACTAGAACCTTACACCGCCCCACTGCTCCCTGGTTGACTCCTGAAATAAAGGAAATTTACCATATCCTTTACTTTTCCTTGCAAAACTCTATATTACCATTTTTCTGGAAAACCGTCCTTGTCCGACCATTAAATAAAAACTCAAATCCTTCTTTACCTCATGACTTCCATCCCATTTCCCTCCTTTCCAATCTTTCCAAATCGCTAAACGCCTCGTCCAAACCCAACTTTCCAAATTCCTAGAAGAACATTCCCTAATTAACTCTCCAATCTGACTTCTATCCTGGTTACTCAACTCAATCTGCCCTTCTAAAAATAACCTCCAAATGACCATGACCATGACCTCCAAAACTCCATTGAACACCAAAAACTTCTTTCTCCAAAATCCTCATTCTCCTAGATTTCTCCAAAGCTTTTGACACACTTGACCACAGCATTCTCTTTACTAAATTGCAACATCTTCCTTTATCCAACAGTGTCCTGCGATGGGTTAAATCCTTCCTTTCAAATAGATCCCAGTATGTAGTCGTCCAAGGCCAACCTCCGTCTAAGACATTTCCTCTCTCCTGCGGTCAAATTCCTTATAACTAAACTGAAACCCTGAAAATTCCCTAGACACGACCTCCTTACTTCCCACATCCTTAGATAACTTCCCAAAAAAGCAATTAAATTCCTCACATGCCTATACAACTGTTTTCTCCACACAACTCACTTTCCTCTGATATGGAAACACTCCATAATCATTCTCTTCCCTAAACCAGGTAAACCTGTTAATAATACCGCATCCTATAGACCAACAAGCTTGCTCCCGATCGTCTTTAAAATCTTTGAAAAATCCTTCTCAAACACATCCTACCCATACTCGAATCCCACAATACCCATATATTCTCTGCGCTAGAAAACAAGCAATATTGCACTGGTGCCTTTCTGGACATAGCGCAAGCTTTCGACCGGGTTAGGCACGATGGCTTGCTGTTCAAGCTCAAAACCCATTTACTCTAATCCTTGTACCTAGTCTTCAAATCCTACTTCTCAAATCGTTCCTTTCAAGTACCATTAGGCACTGAATTCTCCAATTATTATTCAGTTTGGAATGGTGTTCCACAAGGCAGTGTCTTGTGACCAGTTCTCTATATCCTCTTCAACGCTGACAATCTAACCAATGCTGATAGCCTTCTAGCAACATTCTCTGACAATACCGCCATCTTGTCATCCCACCCAGACCCTGAAACAGCATCCCTCAACCTACAAAGACACATCTCCCTAACTGAGCAGTGGTGCAACAACAATTGGTGTATCAAAATCAACGAATCCAAATGCAACATGTCACCTTTACACTCCAACACAGATCCTCTCCACCTATCCGTTTCAACTCTGTTCCTCTATTACACAAAAGACAAACATGGAACCTTCATACTAGACTTAAAAGCGAAGAACTTAACTGAACATTGGGCCAATTACATAGATTACTCAACAGAAACTCATCTCTCAATTGAAAACAAATTATTAATATACAGGACCATGCTGAAACCCATCAGGATCTACGGATTTGAACGATGGAGGATAGCTAAACGAACAACAAACGCATCCAATCCTTCCAATATAAAATCTTTGTACAATAGTCAATACTCCTTATTATTTTACAAACAAAACTCTACATCATGACCTTAATATCCCTTATGTCCTTGACATTATTCCATCCAGATTCTTAAATTTTCATCAGAACCTAATCCACCATCCTAACCCCTTAGCACAATCCTTATCCAGCTCCAGTCATCCCAACAATCCTCCTCAAAGGTTGAAATGGCGGTGGCCTCAAGATCTCTTCTTGCTTGTTTTCTAGAGCAGAGGATATATGGATATTGTGGGATTCGAGTATGAGTAGGATGCTTTAGAGAAGGATTTTTCAAAGATTTTTGAGAGGATCAGGAGCAAGCTTATTGGTCTATAGGATGAGCTATTATTAACAGGTTTACCTGGTTTAGGGAAGAGAATGATTATGAAGTGTTTTCATATCAGAGGAAAGTGAGTTGTGTGGAGAAAACAGTTGTATAGGTATGTGAGAAATTTAATTGCTTTTTTAGGAAGTTGTCTAAGGATCTGGGAAGTAAGGAGGTCGTGTCTAGAAGATTTTCTGGGTTTCAGTTTAATTATAAGAAATTTGACCTTAGAAGGATTAACAGCTGTAGGATGTAAGGAGAGAGGAATCAGTGAAGAAAGGAATTCCTTTGCTTTGGTTGTGTGAGAGGGATTCTGTTCAGGTTGGAGGAAAGGAGAGAGAAATCGGAGAAGAAAGGAACTCTTTAACTTCAGCAGTGTGGGTGGGATGGAGTTCAAGGTGGGTAGTGAATGTGTTGGATAAGTGTTTGGCAAATTCTTCAGCTCTAGTCTCATCTGACGAAGCCCAGGTTCCATCAATGCATCACAGTGAGCATTTAAATATTTTAATAAAGTGGAAATAGAGTGGTATTTAAGGATTTGTTTGTCACTTTACAGAAAATGTTATAAGAACACCACATAATTAATACTTATGGGGTATGTATGAATCATAAAATTCAAGAATATGTTGTTAATTATTATATTTGAATATAAATAAAAATTCAAATAATAGAAACATTTTGGGTGTGCTTAAATACTAAAATAAGGTGAGGCCTTGAAAAAAACAAACACAAAACTTAAATTTACTCCCTTTCAGTTCTACGTTTTAACATAGCTAGAAGAAAGTTTTTCTTTGCATTTGAGGTTTACTAATCCTTTTTTAAGTTTAGAACATAATTTATATTACTTATGTTATTTATATAGTTTTTATTTTTAGCCCTTTACCACAAGGAGTTAATTCAATATATGTTGAAATATATGACGAATGTTCTTTTATGATGGATGAGCTGATTGCTTGGGCACATATACCTATTGGTAAAAATGTTTTAAATGGTGAGACTACAGAAGATTGGTATCCCCTAAATGGCAAACAAGGTGAAGGACGAGAAGGAATGATAAATTTGGTTCTGAGTTACACGGTATTCCCTAATATTTTACTAATATTGAATGTATAAATCAAACTTTTCTAATTTTTTTGTTTACTCTTAAGGAAATTATGATATAAAAAGTTGTTGAAATTTTAATTGATGTAGTTTTTTTAAATTACCTCCATTTTAAGATTACACCACTGCATTACACAGCTTAAGATTACAAGATATACAGTTTAATGAAATTAATTCTGATTTGTGAGGTATATTTAATTTTTTTTTTTTATGCTATCCTTATCCTAATTAAATTTGCTATAAGTATAAATACTTCAAAAGTACTTAATTAAAAAGATACGATTGATTTATTTATATTTCAGCTAAAATAAATAAAAGATTTATTTTCTTATTTTCATAATTTTATTTCATTTTTTTTTTTTAAGATTGTGGTATCTTTTTACAAAATGATAAAATAATAATTTCTAACAAGTAGCTGAAATATCTGTAAATGGTTGGTAAAATTATTACGAGTTGGTTTTTCAGCTTTGTACTTATGTGTTTAGTGGCATATTAACCTTTTTGTAAATATCTACTTTAGATTTATAAATACTTATTTATACTCTAAAACATATTGATGAAACTTTTAATTGAATAAATCAATCGACCTGCAGTGGCGTAATCTTAAAATGGAGTTTATTTTTAAAAAATATGTCTCTGAAAACATATAAGTAGATCCTTATATCGACAAAATCAGAAACACTTAAATAAATCGAAAAGCAGTGGCTAATCTTAAATTGGAGATTATTATAGTAGACCCTTATATCGAATAAATCTGAAAAGGTACAATAAACCAAATTCGACTGCGTAATCTTAAAACTGATAGTATTTTGAAAAAAACAACACATACGATAATGTAATACTAGACCTTTATATTGAATAAATAAAAAAAAGTACTATAAATTTATATTCCACTGCGTAATCTTAAAACCAATAGTATTTTTAAAAAACTACACATATGATAACATAATAATAGCCCTTTATATCGAATAAATCCGAATAGATACAATAAATTGTTATTCTTTAGCGCAACATAAAATCGATAGTTTTGAAAAATTCCACTTATGGGAACATAATAATAGACCCTCATATTGGAAAATTAAAAATAAAAGTTTAATTTGAAATGGAAAATGTTGAATTTGACTGCTAAAAGAGTGAATTTGACTTTTAAAAGGTTGAATTTGATTTGGAAAAGATTTAAATTTGACTTGGAAAAAGTTGAAATTTACTTGGAAATACTATAAATAAATAAAGTATTGTTTCCTTTATTATAACATACTCCTTGTAACATATATTCACTATAATATATTATACAGGGTGTTCTGTAAGTTGGATGACAATTTTAAATGGGTGATATTAGACATTGAGATCTATAAAAAAGTACATATAAACAATTGCTCAATTTGCAGGGAAAAAAAAATTGAAAATTTAAGTTTTGAGTTTTTTTTTTTTGGCAAGTCACATTTTTTGTTGAATAGGAAATGATAACTGAAAAAATACTTAATTCAAATAATTAACAACTGCTTCACTGTAAACTAGACAGAATTTACTTCAAATAAAAATACCATGTAATAATTGTTATTATGTTATAGCAAAAATCTACCAATATTTGACCATCTTCATTCTTTGTCTTTTCACCTCCATGCTTTAGTACAATACATCACATACACCTCACACCACAGCGGTACACTATACACTTATACTGACATTAAGGGCAATAACAATACACACCCTTAGGTCATCTCCCCTAGGTGATAATAGAGTTGTTCTGCTGGCCAAGATAAATTCACCAGCAGACCTGCTGTCCTAGGGCCTAAGGATCTTCCTGCTGGGCTAATCACCCATATGGAAATATTAAGGATTCATAGAAGTCAAAGAAGCCTTGGAACTGGACTGACAAATCAGAAACAACATGGCAGGGAAGAGGACTTGAGATTTGGTACTTGGAATATAAAGACCATTGTAGGTAAGAAAGTTGAACTCGTGGAGGAGATCATAAAATACAGGATAGACATTATTGGTATATATATTTGAAGTTAAAAGGAAAGGAATTGGAGAAATGGTTCTGGATAAGACTTTCAATTTCATTTATTCAGGGGTCCCTAAAAGGGAACATGCTAAAGAAGGAGTCGTCTTTGTTATTAAGAATATTATTTATATTGGTTTTAAATGTGTCAATCAGTCACCAAGGAATTGACATAAACATAAATTGGAGCAGATACTAATATTCTAAAGAAAGATATATCGACGTGATGACTTCATTTTATCAAGACAATTTTTTAAACTTTATTTATTTTTATGTTTTTAGTCCTTCCCCTCATTTGATTAGATATTTATATTTCAAAGACAGATTTATAGGTCTTACGACCATATTTTATCGAGAATCAAACTTGGAATATAATTTTTATTACTAATAAATTTGTCAATCAAACGTCAAGGGATCGACATTATCATAAATTTGAGCAAAGACCACTAAACTATTTTGGAAAACTATAAGGATTACAAAAAAGTATTTAAAAAATTACTTGCACACTAACATATTGTTATTGTTACACTAACATACTCAATTTAGAATAATGAGGTTGCATTTATTTTTTTTATTTAATTCATAACCTGGGACATAAAGATAGCCCACTCTAATATTTTAAATGAATTTTTCTCTTAATATTTCATTTTTCAATTAAAAGTTCCTCAAATTTTCCACCTTCACTGGACTAAGCCTTTTACAGAAATATAATTATATTCACTATTACAAATTGTTTTTAATTTTTCTGTTATGTTGGTTATTATTTGCTATTTTGTTTATTGCACTCAATAAAATATACAAAAAAATGGCCATGACTGCAGTAAGTAGTGGGAATTCATTATGATTGAATTATTGTAAGTTTTGCAATTTAATATGTAATGTTTTTTTTTTCAATATATTTTACTATTTTTCAAGAATGGTGGGCGTGCAGTTAACCAGTGTGTGCCTCTTATGATGATTCCATCTACTGCACAGAATATGTTTGGTATGCCTCAATATTCTCAAGTTCCAGTTTATACACAGCTACCACCTCAATCTATTGTTAATGCTCAACATTTTGTGCAGGTATTGTGATATGTAAGGTATTTACTTATTTAATACTATCAGATTAATGTAGCATTGCTTAACACAATAAATAAAAAATTCAGATTTAAAATTTACACGATTGCAATACTTTCCCTTACTATATATTACGAATGTAGGTAAGTGAAAGTAAAAATAGGTTTATTGTTATTTTAGATGCATTGTAAACTTTACTTAGATGGAAGTATTAGTAATATGTAAAATTAAATTAAATTAATTTTTTTTTTCCTACGCCTAAGTAACGCCTGCTTTATCAGCCATGTGTGCTCTTTCAGTCCAATATAATTTTGCTCTCTTAGCATAAGGGCTGTCCATTTCATTAAAGGAACATCTTATGTCTTGTAATGCAGGGCATGTATCAAGATGCTCTCCTGTCATCATATCTAAGAAACATAGAAGGCATGTCGGGCTATCTTTTATACCGATGTGGTGGAGATGCTTCTGAAGTAAATCATGGCCTGTGAGCATTCTAAAGCATGCCACTGCTTGCCCTCTAGGGAGGTCTCTAGGGATCCTGTCATTTTCTTCGAGCAATCCACTCCATAGTTTTCCTTCAATCGTTTGCGTGTATTTCTCCTTCAGTGAACTTTGGAGGGTCTGTTTTATAATTCTTTTTTTGAATCCATGCCCAGAGGAATATCTGGTTGGATCATTCCAGAACTTATTTTGGCCAGTTTGTCAGCTTCATCATTTCCGTGGAGCCCGCAATGGCCTGGTATCCACTGGAAAGCGACTTCTGTCCCATTTTCTTTTAATCAGTTCAAATATAGATGGCATTTAGGGACAAAAAATGTAAAAAACAGTTAATTGTTTAATGACCTATCTTATAGGTATCTATTAAATTTTAATGGAGTTTATTATATTAGTAGGCTTTCCCATTAGTTTCTTCCTTTTTTTATTTGTTGTTTAAGGCTGATTTACTATGTTTTATATGAAAGGTTCTGCTATATTACCTTACGAAAAAATATCAAAAGTAAGTAAAGATAAAGTATTGACTTCTTATGTCAAAATGTAAACATTTAAAACATAAAAATATATACATAGCTTAAAGATATATTAATGCAAGAAGAAAAATAACGTACAACGAAAAATGTAAGAGAAATAAAATAACAATAAGTAGATAAATACAATTGCAAAGTAGCATTAAATTAATTTTATGAGAAAACTATTGTAGTGACAAGAAAAAAAAAACTAAATTAAAGAAAATAAATTATTTATATATGTTACTTAAGGGCTTTTAATGAATAGAAGGGCTTTTCTAGTTGCACATAGAATATTGTAAATTGAAAAAATAAAATAAAATAAAAACAAACAATTTTTTATTTTTTCTTTCATCACAATTCCATGTTACAAGTGATATGAAATCTTTCAAATTCATAAAAAATAAAACTAGTGTTAAGAATGTAAAAAATAAAATACATCTCCAATACATAGAATCTTGTAAATGGAATAAATAAATAATAACAAACAATTTCTCCTCTCTTTTTTTTCTTCACCGTAATGCTATGTCTAAAGTAATATGAAAACTTTTCCAATTCATAAAAAAAAAATTATTAAGTATAAAAAAAATAAAGTAGTTAAAAATTAAATAATTAGCCAGCATCTGATTGAATGGTGAAAATAAATTGAAATAAGATGGTTGAAATTGAAATTTATATTTATAAATGTGGATAAGGATGGTGCATGGATAGATGACATAAAGTGGAGGACATAAGAGGCACAAAGGAGGAAGGAAAAGAAGAAGAGATGTGGGCAATATGGTTATTCTGGTAGAGGGTTTGGTCAAGGAAAATGCCTAGATTTTTAACTGAGGAGCTGAAGGTGACAGAATAGGAATTTTGGTATTGGATTTGAGGAGAGGTTTGGAAACAGTGACAATGGCCTGAGTTTTATCAGTGTTTAATCTAATCCATTTATATTTACCTAGCCACTGCCTTGATTTAGATCTTCATAGATTCTGGCAAACGCATCATACAACCCAGAGGGTGGGAAGGAAAGGTAAATTTAGGAACCATTTTCATAGAGGAGATGGGAAGGAACAGTCAAGGATTGATTTATGGATGTCGTTGATATAGGAACTAAAAAGAAGAGGAGTTATGCTAGAGCCCTGGGCTATTCCTGAGGATAGAGTAAGATAGGAAGACAAAGGTTGATTAAGGATAGCGACATCTTGTGTATGTCGAGAGAGGGAAGATTGAAACCAATGGATAGAGTTATTGGAAAAGGATAAAGATTTTCATTTGGAAAAGAGAATGGGATGGTTAATGGTATCAAAAACTTTGGAAAAGTCAAGGAGTACAAGGACAGTTAGTTTTTTGTCATCTATAGCAGACTGAACATCACTAATGATTTTGATTAGGGTGGATTGTATGGAGTAACCTGGTCGAAAACCGGATTGGTAAGGGTTAAGTTGATTGGACTGTTAGAACTTGGAAACTTGGAACTGCGCTATTCTCTCCAGGGGTTTTGAAAGGATTGAGATTAGGCAGAAACTTCGGGGCAAGATGGCTTAGATTTTTTATTTAAAGGGTGGACTGAAGCTTTTATTCACGAGGTAGGGAATACTGAATTTTGAAAGGAGAAATTATAAATAAAAAGGAGTACCAAAAGGATTTCAGGAAATCGTAATTTGATTAATTTGTCGGGAATGCCTTTTGGACCAATAAAATTTGAATGTGATTTCATCACGGCGGATATGAGCTCTGTGGGAGAAATATCTGAGAGAGAGAGATGTTCTAGGAGAAAAGGAGGAAGAGGTAGATGGAGGAGTGGAATATAAAGCAGATATAAAATAAGAATTTAAATAATCTGATGAAACTGAAAGGACTGCTGAGGGAGGGAGGGGATCTGGAAGGTTCGCAATGGGAGGATTTACGAAGGAGTAGCCATTTGGATTTGGAATCGGGAGCTGATGAAAGGGCTTCATGGAAATAGGTCGATTTTGCTTATCGGATTGTGTCAGGTTGCGGAACACCCTAAACGCTTGATAGTCGTCAGCCAGCCTAGTACGTCTAAAGCGTCTACTGACAGCATCACGTCTGGAGATCCTTAATTTGCTGACACATCCAAGGAGTGGGGCGGCGATGAAAGGTGAGGTTTTGAGAGGAGCATGGGCTTCAAGGATATGAAGAAGATTGTAGGTGAGGATATCCACCATGGCATCAATTGCCAAACAGGAATATAATCTATTCCAATCTAGGATTTCTAGGCTGGGTAGGTGTTACAGGAGATCTCGGCAATCAAGAACTCGACTTGTGGCTGATTGGATAGAGTAGAACAATGAAAAATTCGGATCTTCAGGCTTTCATGAACGTTCATAGCTACACCTTCACCAGTCTGGCTTCCCCTGCTGTGACGGATTAGGGTATAGATAGGAAGCGATGTAGGGCTTCAGCCAGGTTTTGGAAATTGCAATGATGTGGTAAAAGTTTTGGGTAAAATATTCTAGGAATTCATCATAATAGACTGGAAGGGAATGGGAATTGACGTGACAGGTAGTTAGGACACTAGACATAAGTAGAATTTCAGAGAGGACATTTAATACAGGATTAAATACATTAATCTATTCCAGATCCTGGGAGTTAACCAGGTGTACTTTATTTTTCCCGCTGCTTTCTTCTGTCGAGTGAGCCAGTACAGGTGCCTATTCTTAGGGGTCTTTGCTGAAGTAGATTCGGTGGCAGTCATTTTCCTGCCAGCCAAGTTTCCGCATTGAGAAGTCTCTTTTAACTTTATAAAGGAAATAGATGGTTGGGGGGGGGAGAGGCTCATAAATAGGCTAAATAGTGGTAAAACTATTTTATTAAAAGCCAACGTTTCGACCCGACTTTGCAGGTCTTCTTCAAGGCTAGAATGGACGAGATACAAAAAGATAGAGAATTGTGGAAGTTACATAATATTTAGACAAAAAATTATAAACAATGTGAATAAGCTTATTAAAATTATAAAGGAACGTCGAAAGGTTGGCTTTTAATAAAATAGTTTTACCACTATTTAGCCTATTTATGACCGCCTCCCCGGACCATCTCCTTCATTTATAATGCAACGGTCAACTTAAATATTCAACTTTTAACTTTATGTTTTTGCACCTGGTCGTCTCTCACTGACTGCCTGACAAATCACGCAATAGTGGGTGGTGGTCGCTTGTCCTCTTTCTAGGCTCTTTGGTGCACATTTAGCTGCACATTGTCCAGGTCATTGATATTGAGCTTGATTCCCAGACCAGCCCCAATACTTGAAACCATGACTGTGGGGTTTTTACATTATTTTTTTTAGTCGTGGACTTAAAAATCCATACCTGTAGGATGTTTATATTCTCATTTTATTACAAAATCACAGTTTTCTGTATTCTGGACTCATCTATTTTATTTTAAGATTTATATATTAATCAAATTATTTTTTAAAATTATTTTCATTAAAAAAAAAACTCTTGTTTTCAGATTGAAGAAATGTTTCCTAATATTGATAAAGAAGTGGTGAAATCTGTTTATGAAGCTAACAGAGGAAATAAAGATGCTACTATAAATTCACTTCTACAAATGTCTGATGCTTAGAGTTACGGGATTAAATCCTTGATTAATCGTGTGCTTGTTACCTGTTCACATATATGGTAAAACTAATGATTAATTTATGGATGAATAAATACAATTGTTTAATATATGAAAGAAAACATTTGCATGAATGACTAAATAAGATTGTTGAAGTATTGGATACAAAATATGAAATAATAAATAAGATTGTTTGAATCTTTGATTTAAAATACTGTACGGAAATAAATAAATTAGGTTGTTAAAATATTAATCATTATCTTTAAATAATATGTCTACTTATTTGTACCATTGTTAAGACTGCTATGGTAAGTCCTCTTCTGAATAATAAGCCATCGGTAGCTATATTATATTAGTTTCAAAAGCTAATAAGATAATGTAGTTCAGTATTACACCATTGTGAATCCTTATACAGATTGGCTGTCACACATCTTATACTACAGCATGTTAATTAGAGTACCACAAGACGTTTTCTTTCCTTCAGCTCATGTAAATCAATGTGTATTAGATTAAATTGAAAATTAAAAATCCATTATATTATAAATAAAATTGAAGAAAAAAGGGAAGTAAGATATGAATAAGTTCCTTTTAATGTTTATTTATGGTTTAAACTTGGTTGTGTTTGTTTCTATTTGTTAGATTTTATAGTTTTTTCATTCTTTAATGGGATTACAGCCCTGTTATTTCTTGACGGAAAGCAGGAAAAAATCACTAAATAATTTTTCTCGAATCTATATGTTTTTTGGGGTGCTGAATCTGAAAATCCAGTTATCATTTAGATTCAGAAATGGCTTCACCATAAAAATGGCGTTTCAGTTTTTCACTTATCATTTCGAAACAACGCTTCCTAGAGAAAAGTCACTTGTATCAAAAAGAAAGCTGATAAAGTTTCCTAAAAAATAAATCTAGAACGAAGCAAGCTCGCTTGCTTTTTTCGTTTGAGCCTTAGAGTGCATTAAAAATTGACCATAATTTTCAAGTTATTCAAAAAATTTTATATTTCAGATTTTCAAAGCTTTGTGATATACACTTAAATATATATATATACTATATATATATATATATATAATATATATATATAATATATATATATATAATATATATATATATACAGAAAAACCACAAGAAGACTTTCCTGGAAAAACCATGCATCCAATATTTCCCGCCCTACCATTTCCACTCTAAAAGGTCTAAATTATTCTCGTCACCTATTTCCATTTGAAACGCATAGGCTCCTAGTCACTTACTTAATTTTTCTCTTTCAAGTCATCCAATCCCACCGTCCTTCATACATCTCTGAGCTCCTTCAATTCAAATCCTCTGTTCGTTCCCGTAATACTCGTTCCCGTTCTTCTAATTTATACATAAGGGCCCACCGAAGCGCTGCTTTCGACAGATCTTTCATTATCCGATCCTCATCCCTTTGGAATTCCATTCCTTCTCACATTCATCAATCTAATACCCTTCCTACCTTTAAATCCCGCCTGTTCAATCATATCTTATCCACCCAGTCCCCATGAAATTGTAAATAGATACTAATGTAAATATGTATATAAATTATTAGCTCATTCTTCATTATTTTTACTTTATCCTTTTTTTTTTAATTTTTTATTATTAACTGATTAAAATTAGAAAGTAATTTATAATTTTTCAATTGTTTTATTATGGCTGTTTAATTACTTTGTATTTTTATTTATGTATCTCTGAGGCTCCTTAGCCCATATTTATGTCTTTCTGTATAATTCTAAAGGGACTCGCCCCAGAATAAATAAAGTATTATTATTATTATATATATACAGTGGCTCACAATCAAGATTATACCCCTGGATATTGATAGAAATTGAATAAATAAATAGTTCGATTCACATTACATTGAAAACGATAATTTATTGTAATCAGTAAATAGCCTATTAATATGTTATTTTCTTATGTTATGTTTTTGTTCTTTTTTTATGTTTTGTTTCTTGGTGTGGAGTGTACGACGGATTCTGGTGTAGGAAATTTTCACTTTATAGTGGAAATATTCACATGGTATAGTAAGAAACGGACGGCCTAAAGAAATGTGTAGGAGGACTCTAGAGAACAAGATGTAAAGCGCCGGACAGACCTGGTCTGGAGTCAAGGAGCTGGCTAAAGATCGAAATGCCTGGCAGAACTTCGTAGCAGCCCTATGTCCCACCCAAGGGGTTCTAATAATAATAATAATAATAATAATAATGCTTTATTTATTCTGGGACGAGTCCCTTTAGAATAATATAAAAAGACAATACTATGGGCTAAGGAGCCTTAGAGATACATAAACAAAAATATACAGTAATTAAATAGTCAAAATTAAAAAAAATAATAGAAAAAATTATAAGTTGCTTACTAATTTAGATCAGTTAAAAAAAAAAACAAAAAATTGTAAATAAACATGAAATAAAAATAATGAAGAACGCTCTAATAATTTATATACATATTTACTGTAGTAACTATTTACAATTTTACTTTTCTATACTATTACAATAGTAGGAAGGAATAATTGGTAATTGGGTAGGGAAATGTGGGAGTAAGGGATAAAAGGTTTTAACTAGGTTTCGGATATTGCTATTATGTTGTTAAAATTATCAAGGAAATGTTCCTGAAATTCATTCTAGTGTGCAGTAAGGGATTTTGCATTGATGTGACAGGAATTCAGGATATTAGTCATGACTGGAGGGTTAGGAAGTAGGATTTTGGGGAAAAAAAAAAAAAGATCTAGGATGGAGGATAGGATATAGTATTTTTTATGCATAATGTCAAGTTTATAAATATAAAAAAACAATGCTTACATAAAATAAACTTTGAGATGAAAAAAATAAATTTTCAGTGTTTTGAAATAAATATTCAGTTAAAATTAATGTATAACATAAGAAAATATAAATTTCTCCTTGGTCTAGATAAATTGATAAAAATTGGCAAGGAATTAAATAAAGTTCTAAATAATTTATACGAAAATAAAAGAAGCTTAAAATTAAAATAATAATATTTCTGATGAGTAAAAATTGATAAAAAAATTAAAAAAAACAAGAGAAGCTACATTTATAAAAAAATAAAGAAAGCTGGAAATGAAAAAAATATAATTATATATTTCTAGTTCCGATTGCTTCTGGAGGGTTTCTTTTATTTTCTTCGTTCGTCTAAACCCTATAGCTTGGACTTCAATTCCCTTACTTCCTTGGCCAGAGTCCTCAGTAGGTCTATCATAGTATTAGGCTCAGTGGCTGGCAATGTACGCGGCCCTGTTTCGCAATCGGTGCACTTCCATTTTTTACTGGCTTCTTTTAGGCCTTCTGAGTCTGTCAAATCAATTTTCGTGCATTTAGCATGAAAGATGCTTTGACATGTGACACAAGTCAATTTAATCTTGTCTTCTCTACTTGCCGTTTTCCCGCATAGTTTGCAATTAACCATTTTGAAAAAATAAAATCGAGAAATATGTCACAATTGCTTTAAAATGAGAGAAAACGAAAGAAATTACAACAAAAACAACAAAGGCACCTGTTTGTTTGGGTGAAGGCTGGTAGGATTAGGCTGATGCTAGCTATCCCCACTACTCCAACTCAGCTGCTTCTATCACTTCCTTTTTTTTCTTTTTTCACTATATAACTACTATCACCATAAATAACTGTATTGTAATATTAATGTGATATTACGAAACAAAGTAATTGTGAAAAAAAATAGCGGAAAAGTCTTCAAGTCACTGTTTAAATCATATAAGATAGGGAGAAGCACTAGTTAAGCTCTTGACTGTTAGAGAGATACTCTGAGACTCCTAGAGATAATAATAGTAATAGTAATAATAATAATAGTAAATAGATATGTTTACATAGTCCCGGGCCAGGGGCTGTGAGCGGGGATTTAAAATACTCCCCCGGCTCTGGGACGCGAACTCGTGACTATTTTAAATCCATTGTCTCATAGATCAGGTTGCCGGGCAATGGTGGTGCTGTGCACACACGTTAGCCCATTCGGCCATCCTGCCCATTGAAAATCAGGAGCTAAAAACAAATTTATTTTTTATCAGGGTAATGGCCCTTAACATTCAGCTCATGTTGGTTAAAGAATGGCTAATTTATAACTGCCCCAAAGTTATAAAAACTCGTTAACAGTCAGCAGATGTTAATGTGATAGAACATCTGTGTACAAAATTGGAGGTAGAAATTAGAAAATACTATATTTCTAGCAAAGAAGACTTTAAAAATATATCTCCTCGAAGAGTGGAACCGGCTAAGCCCGTAATTCACCAAAAAACTGTTCAACTCTATTACAAACAGGCCGAAAGAAGTGGTAGGAAATAATGGCTTACCTACAAGTAATGGCTTACCTACAACTAAATTAATAGTGTTTAAAAGTTAAAAAGAAGTGAGGTGTATCATTTTGACTGAGGTGGAATTATCCAATTTTTTTTATTATTTTTTTTAAATATTCACAGTTGGATATTTCAATTTTATTGAGGTTATAAAAATCTGTTGAAGAGCTTCTGGTTTTATTTGTTTACTGTAACCATTTAAGTATTTTTTCTGTGTGGTGTATCAAATTCACTGTGGCTCACTGTATATATATATATATACACTTCAAGGATTATTGCTGCTGCTGCCCTAACTTTACAAAGTAGTTCTTCGGTTACTGACGATGCTTTTTGATCTGTATACTAGGATTCCGTAAGAATTTTACTGTACTCTGTATTTTTGAAATAGACAATGTTAGGTTTTGTTTTTGTGTTATGAAGATGTCTTCATCATTCCTTCCTTTTAGATGAGCAAGAACTGTATTCCAATGAGTCATGTTGCATGACATTACCTTCCACATGCATCATTCCCACCACATAGGCAGGGTCAGGTGCAGATGGAGTTAACTTTTTTTATTTTGCAGCATAGTTCTTCGGAATGGTAACATGCCAGTACCTTAATCGATGATTATTTTCGAGGCGTTAAACACTGTTTAGAACGGTTGAAGACCTGGTTGTGGCTGATGGTCAATAATAT